TTGCCCCTGGTGCTTGGGGGAAATAAAGGTGGTGCTGCTACAAGGAGAGGGAGAAACACCAGGCAGGGGCTGGGAGGACGAGTCTTCCCACACAGCTGCTGAGTGGCCAGCCAAGCAGAGAGACAGCAGACTTCCTGGTGCCATCCACAGGAAGAGTGGGACCTTTACAGCAAGGGGAGGCGTGACTGGACGGGCCAGTCCCAGGGGTTGGACCTGCCTTTGGGGCAGCTGAGACAGAGATATTCGTATTCCTTTACAAATACAAATATTCCCATCTGTAATTGGGAGCATAGGGTGGCATCCCAGCGCCCGAGGGTTCCTAAATGAGACTGATGAGACTTTGGTAAAGCGGTGCCTGGCTCCCTCCCTGCCCACATTTAAAAGGCACTCAAAAACGCTGCTGTACAGAGAGGTCTCTCTTTTTTTCGCAACCCTGCCTGGTGCATTTTTGTTTTCTCTTTTTGTTTTTCCTCTCTGATACAGTCGTTGTTTATTTGCCTCGCATCCCGCATTTTAATCTTACAGTTTATGTCTCTTGAAGTTTTTGTTGTTTTCTAACCTCTGCTTTCATATATACTATTATTACATGTTTTTAACTTCTGTAAACCACCCAGGATAGTGCATGGCACTAATGGGACAGTATATAAATGTAAGAAATAAATGAAATAAAGAAATAATCTAGCTCCATTTCAATCTTGCTTCAGGCCCGGTTATGGAACAAAGATGGTTTGGTCACTTTGGTGGATGACCTACCCCAGGGAACTGGGCAGAAGAAGTTTATATCTGTTGGTTCTGCTGAAACCCTCGGCAGCTTTCAGTACCTGTATTCTTCTGGGGCCCCTTTCTGGGATGGGTCTTGGAGGTATTGTTTTACAGTGGTTCTGACCTGTGCTGTCCCACAGGATTCAGTCCTGTTCCCTATGTTATTCAACATCTACATAAAACCACTAGGAGAGGTGGTCTGGAGTTTTAAGGTTCCGTGACAGATAAATAAAATTTTATTGTGTCCAAAAGACCAGCCACTAAGGTTCAGTGTCATCGGTATGCTGATGGCATCCAACTCTACATTTCTTTTCCATCTGATTCCAAGGAAGCTGTTCTGTGCCTAAAGACCAGTAATGGACTGGATGAGGGCTAACAAACTGAAAATTGATCCAGGCAAGATAGAGGTACCCCCGTCAGTCTTGAAGCAAATCAGGGGACAGGGATCCAGACTGCATTAGATGGGATTACACCACCACCACCACCCCCGGAAAAGTCAGATTCCCCGCTTGCATGTGCTCCTGGACTGAAACCATGACTTTGGATCCACAAGTTTCTGGCCAGAAATGCCTTTGCACCATTAAAGCTAGTATGCCAGCTGGGCCCATTCCTTGAGATGTTTGATCTAGCCATGGTTACACACTCTTGTCTAGATTACTGCCACACACTCTGCATGGGGCTGCCTTTGAAGAGTGTTCAGAAACTTCAACTGGTTCAAAATACTGCAGCCAGGCTCTGACTGGTGCTGGTTACAGGGAGTACATATCTCCCTCACTACAACTGCTTCATTGCCTGCCAGCTGGTTTCCAGGGTCAACTCAAAGTGCTGGTTATTACTTGGTTTGGGTCCAGCTATCTGAAGGATCATAAGTTCTCATATGAGCTTTTTAAACTTCTAAGATCTTTTGGGGAAGCCCTTACTTCAGTTCCACCATCTTCCCACACTTGTTTTGGTGGGGACACGAGAGCGGGGCCTTCTCAGTGGCTGCTCTCAGGCTTTGGAAGGCACTGCTCTGAGAAGCCAGGCTGGCCTCCTTCCTCGTGTCCTTCTGTCAGCAGGCAAAGCCCTTCTTTTTCAGGCGCATTTTTAAGGAATGTGGGTTAGGGAAACATTACATTTATGAAATGTAGATGTTTTTAAAGGTTTTTAAACATTGTTTTAAAAATTGTTTTCAACCTTGGTCAATGTTTAAGTGTTTTTAAATCTACAGTTTTGTATGGTATTTTTAACTTACTATTGTGCAGTTTTAATTGTTGGGTCTTGTGTGGGGAAAAGGCAGCATATAAATAAGACGAATGAATGGATGAATACATGGCCTGCCCAACAAGGCCATTGAGAGGTTTGCTGCGATCATGCATGTAAACTGCCTGAGCCCTTAGAGTAAGTAATATATACATGGCTTTGAAGCATTTGGTTGCATACTGTATTGTGCCTTCATAATAATAAACAATGGTTTGCCGTCAAGACAGTTCTGACTTATGGCGATCCTTCCCAGGGTTTTCGAAATGTAAAGTACTCAGAAGTGGTTTACCATTCTCTTCTTCTGGGGGCGTCTTGGGGCTGTGCAGCTGGACCGAGGCCACATGCAGCATACTAAAAAAGAAGAGCCCATAAATCCTTCTGCAAAAACTACTGAGCCAGCCCCTTGAAATGAATGGCAGGTACACAAGGCAAGAACACACCTGCTCAATCCTGTGTGGATCTATGTTTAGGGCAGGGGTGTGTGAACAAAGGGCTCCCTCCTCTGTGGAGTATCAACAGGAGCACAATGGAGCTGTAGCCTGTCTGAGCATCCTTACCTACCCCTATGTTCTGGTGTGGTTCTGATGGTGTGTGTGTGTGTGTGAGGGCATGAGAGGCAGTTTCCTCTTAAAAACAAACATCACTTGAGTCTCTTTACTCAGGTGGGGTTAATTTAAATACAGGTGTTGCCTTTGCAATTTCTTTCCATCAAAAAAGCAGGAGGGAGGGGGTGTCTGAAGTAGCCCAGGTGCCTCTGAAGTAGCCCTGATGCCAGGAGGAGGGGCAGCGAAGGGCTTTCCTGCTGAGTTAAACTCCTGCTTTCAGGAAAGCAAAACAAGGGATATTAACACTCTTAAGCATCTTCCCTTTTCCAAGCTGCTGAAACCTCAGGACAACATTTACCATGTAACTGTCTGCTAGTGCCGGCTGCACTAAGGACTTCCACTGTCTTTGAAATAAGCTGCACCAGTATAAAACTGGGAATCTTAAATGGGGTGTATTGAGGAGGAGAAGCCGTTATATAAGTTGTGGAAGTTTGAAAGCAACATCAACCTGTCTCTGAACTTTCAGCTCAACTCTCTGTTCTCTGTACCCTAAAGACTGCTCCTCTGTTCTCCTCACAGAGATGTGGACTGGGGAAAACACTTCCATCCCTTCTTCCACAATTGCAGGTGCATGCTGCGCACCTGGGGAGGTATTCCAAGATGGCTTTAGATCAGAGGCAGCCATTTTCCCACTTTGAGTAGCACAACATGATTCTCAACGGAGGCTGTTTTTGTCAGGGTGGATTTGGGCAAACGGCTTTTTGCCTTTTGTAGGATCAAGCTTTAGAAGCCAAACAAACACTTCTGCAAAAATGAGAAATGTTGAAAAACAGCACCCTGGTGCCAAAGTCCCTCCTGCTCAGGTGGCTTTAGCAAGGTAGAGGCCTTGGAGGAAGGCTGCTGAGGCTGGCCTTTGTATGGCATAGGGACACTCTTTCCTGGCCAGGATGTAAGAGGTGGGGAAAGTTCTACCCAAATTCTCTGAGGCATGTGGAAATGAAAGGCACAGGGCTGGTGCAGAAGAGGGCCGTCCTGAAGTTCAAATGTTTGACACGGATGGTTCACATGTGGAGAGGAGGCGGTTAAAACCCACTGCTCTGGGGCGGCACACCAGAAAGGGACACTTAGGACATCACAAAACAACAGTCACCATTGACTCTTTTGCCAGGGTATTTGAAAGCTAAGAATGTGGGTGAAGTCCTTGTGAAGTCCTTTCTGTTCCCTTGGTTTTTCCATCCCCACCTCATGTGCCAAAATAATTTGGCTCAGCTTGGGTTTGTTCCACACCTTGTCAGGGAAGGGTATCTCCGGAGGGGGGGGGCGGCCAAAAAGTCTGGGGCCAACCCATCTCACCAGATCCCAAACAAACCATTTCCCTGCTATCCTTAAATGCCCCTGGGATAATGGGCAGCTCCCACTGGCACCCGTGTAGGGAAGAGGCTATGGCCCCGAGGTGCCACTCAGAACAGGTTTGGGGGGCCCTCCACGGGGCTGGATCGGCTTTAGGGCTGTTGTTTCGTTTCTTCCCCGAATCCGCTGCCCAGCGCTTCTGAGGAGGAGGATGAGACCGATAGATGGACCTGGCTGGCCGCCCGACCGTCCCTTGCGCTGGGCTGGCATTCCCGGGGCGCCCATTTCCAGCTCTACAGGTGGCTTGTTCCTTTAAGGGCGTCTCGGCGCCGGCGCCGGGTGTGTCTTAAGTAGCTATGGTAACTTCCAAGTTGAGGCTGCTGGGCGATGCTCTGGGTGGCCGCCTCGGAGGGAAGCCGCGGCGCTCCGCTGG